AATTGGTAAGAGGCAATATAGGCAGATAGATAAGCTGGGCCTGAACCATTTAGGGCTTTAAAGGTTAGGAAGGTGAGGAAAAGAGAATGCGGGATGAGAAGTTTCAAAATTCGAAGTGCCAGATTAGTCATGTGGCAACTGATTTGATCTATACACAGATTGTACATATAGTATTTTAAATGAGAGCCGTTCAGCAGTGGAACTCTCTGTCCCAGAGTGTGGTGGAGGCTCCTTCTTTGGAAGCTTTTAAACAGAGGCTAGATGGCCATCTGTCAGGAGTGCTTTGAATGCAATATTCCTGCTTCCTGGCAGGGGGTTGGACTGGATGGCCCATGAGGTTTCTTCCAACTCTATGATTCTATGATTCTATGACTAGTGATTGAACCAAAAATATACCAGGATTCAAATGTATGTACAAGATTTGCCTCCAATCTTAAGAGTGTGTGTATTGGCACTAGTTTCTTTTTTATGGCAGGAAAGACATTCTGTGCATGCTTAGAGGAGCACTATCTTAATTTGAATAATCTGTAGCCTTACATCAAATTCCAGGTTTTAAATTACAGACAGGACTCTAATTCAATTTACCGAAGCTATTCCACTTTTAAACTGGATTTCCAACATACCGGAGAGAGCCACGAAAGTGGAAATGCCACAGGAAAATTGCACTACAAAATGAGACAAATTCCCATTAATTACCATCCAAAATCATAATTTTTTTCAGACTGATGTTTTGACCCATGTGGAATACAACCCTGTGTAGCATTCTGGAGAAAATACGCTGGAAAATAGGCTTCCTCACTACTACAAAAGTGAAATGAACCAATCTCTAAAAATATTTTAATCCTATTCTCACAATTAACAAAGGATTGTCACACTTGAGTTTTCCCCTTAGGCTAGAAATGAATGAACTTCCCTATAACAGGGTAGTACTCCCTTTGGTCTTGCTTATTACCAGCTCGTGTTTTTATTTTTCAAAATATAGTATATATATTTATAGAAAATATTTCATTTTTCTCTTTCTTCTATATGAGAATGGAGGTGGTAAGCCTCAAATCTCACAAACAGGGAGGTGAAATCAGATAACTAGAAAAGTTTCAAAAGTTTGTGAAAATCAGAGGAAACAAGAGAGAGAAGTTGTCATCGTTCTGCAAGTACACAGTGGCACACCCAGTGGAAAAACATGTAAACAGCAAACAAATAAAAGTAGCCAGAGTCTTGTCTTGCTATACATATGCTTTTTTCGTACAAGTCCTGTAAAAGACAATCACATACACAAAACATTCCATCTGGCAGAAGGAAAATAGGGATAATGCCCAGATGAGATACCACCATTGACAAACTAGAGCTGAACTATCACAAGAACAGTTTACAAACTCAAGGGAAGAGGGGATTCCTGTGGTGCTGTGCAGAATGTGTAGCATACTGAGGCCCCTTCCACATTATCTCACATTATCTGCTTTGAACTGGGATATATAGCAGTGTGGACTCAAAGCAGTTTAAGGCAGATGTTGTGGGTTTTCTTTCTGCATTGATTTTCTGTGTTATATGACTGTGTGGAAGGGCCTTGAGTCTCCTTGTGGAGAGAAAAAGTGGGGTATAAACAAACATAAGGTAAAGGTAAAGGTTTCCCCTGACATTAAGTCTAGTCGTGTCCAATTCTGGGAGTGGTGCTCATCTCCATTTCTAAGCCGAAGAGCCAGAGTTGTCCGTAGACACCTCTAAGGCCATGTGGCTATCATGACTGCATGGAGCAGTACCTATTGACTAGGGCTGGGCGGTTTCGTTTCATTAATTCGTAATTCGTTAAAAATTCATTACTTTTTTTTATAACGAAGCGATAACGAACCATTCTGGAGCAACTTAAAAACGAAACGAATTTTTAAATTCGTTTAGTAAATGCTTCGGATTTGTTATGTATTTGTTTTGTTATCGGTTTGAGGTCCTTTCATTATTATTTCCGCATGTCTGGGGCAAGTTTTATAGTTGTTTTTTGTTTAATTAGTGAAAAAAAATTATAATATCACACCAACAGTCAACAACAGAGGGAGAGGGAAGCTTCAGAAGTTCCCCCTGTCCCATTTGGAGGTTTTTTAGCGTATTGCGCGGTCGCGTCCGCCATTAATGAATCAATTCGTTATTGTTTCGTATTTGTTTCGTTAATGTTTCGTAAATTTTTTAACATTTACGAAATTTCGTAAATATCGAACTTTTTAAAAGAAAAATTTCGGAATTCTTTAAAATATCGAAACGCAAAACCTCCCAAAAAAGAATCGATTTTAGAAACAAATTTTTCCGTTGTTACCCAGGTCTACTATTGACCTACTCACATTTGCATGTTTTCGCATCGCTAGGTTGACAGAAGCTGGGGCTGACAGTGGGATTCAAATTTCTCCCTGCCAACCTTTCGGTCAGTATGTTCAGCAGCTCAGTGGTTTAACCTACTGCACCATCACCAATAATAATAATAATAATAATAATAATAATAATAATAATAATCTAGATTAAGACACCTTTTGCTCCCTTCTGCCAGCTATTTTGCTAAACAACTTTAGAAAAGTGAAACTGTCATGAATTGGAGGAAAATCATTAGCTTTTCTAAAATACTGTAAATGTGGTGGCTTTCCATAATCCTAGATTTTCAAAACAGACCAAAAAACAAAATGCAAGGATTGCCACTTGTTTGAAGTAGTGGTTCTTGCAAGCTCCTAACTGCTGAAGATATGTAAACTTGGATCCTTTGGGATTATGGCCATTATTGAACCAGGTTTTAGAACGAAGATAGAACAGTAATATGTAACAAAAAGTAAAACCAAAGCCCTGCAAACAGTAGTGTTACTTGTGTTTGGGATTTTATCGCTGCCTCCCAATTCACCAAAGAGAGGCTCAAATCCCCAAACAGTAGTGATACTTGTGTTTGGGAGTTTATTACTGCTTCACAATTCACCAAGGAGAAATCAGATCCCCAAAAAGTAGTGTCACTTGTGTTTTAGGAGTGTATTGCCTCTTTCCAATTCACCAAGGAGAAACCAGATCCCCAAAAAGTAGTGTCACTTGTGTTTGGGAGTGTATTGCCTCTTTCCAATTCACCAAGGAGAATGCAGGTCCCCAAAAAGTAGTGTTACCTGTGCTTGGGAAAATATTGCTGCTTCCCAATTCACCAAGGAGAAACCAGTCTGCAAAAAGTAGTGTCACTTGTGTTTGGGAGTGTATTGCCTCTTTCCAATTCACCAAGGGGAAGCCAGGTCCCCAAAAAAGTAGTGTTACTTGTGCTTGGAAGTCTATTGCTGCTTCCCAATTCGCCAAGGAGAAACCAGGTCCCCAAAAAGTAGTGTCACTTGTGTTTGGGAGTCTATCGCTGCCTCCCACTTCACCAAGAAGAAACCACAGGTTAACCACTTGCTCAAGGAGATGTCAACATCTTTTCCTTTCTTTCAGGACAACTTTAAAGTCTACTTCAAAAGTTGCATAGTACCAGACTTCACAAACGATGCCCCTTCCAAAATATATCATCTACCCAAGGAGACAAACTCCAAAGGCTTTGATTTCCCCCAAGATTTGCAAGGGGGACTTGGAAGCAAACAAAAAGTAACTATCGGGGCTGCGGAAGGAAGACACATGAGAAAGAAAGGCAGGACTGCTGGAGCAAAACATGGGTTTCCAAGGGGCAGCTTGAAGACAGAGAAGGAAGAACAACCCTGTGTGAGGATGGAGAAGGAAGAGCAAGGTAATGTGAAGACAGAGAAGGATGAACAACCCAGTGTGAGGAGAGGGAAAGAACAACCTGGTGTGAGGAGAGGGAAAGAAGAACAACCCAGTGTGAGGAGAGGGAAAGAAGAACAACCTGGTGTGAGGTTAGGGAAAGAAGAGCAACCCAGTGAGAAGACAGGGAAAGAAGAACAACCCAGTATGAGGAGAGGGGAAGAAGAACAACTCAATGAGAAGACAGAGAAGGAAGAATAACCCTGTGTGAGGATGGAGAAGGAAGAGCAAGGTAATGTGAAGACAGAGAAAGATGAACAACCCAGTGTGTGGACAGGGAAAGAAGAACAATCTGGTGTGATGCCAGGGAAAGAAGAACAACCCAATGAGAAGACAGAGAAGGAAGAATAACCCAGTGAGAAAACAGAGAAGGAAGAATATAACCCAGTGAGAAGACAGAGAAGGAAGAACAACCCAGTGAGAAGACAGAGAAGGAAGAATAACTCAGTGAGAAAACAGAGAAGGAAGAATATAACCCAGTGAGAAGACAGAAAAGGAAGAATAACCCAGTGAGAAGACAGAGAAGGAAGAATAACCCAGTGAGAAGACAGAGAAGGAAGAATATAACCCAGTGAGAAGACAGAGAAGGAAGAATATAACCCAGTGAGAAGACAGAGAAGGAAGAACAACCCAGTGTTTACATTTCTCTTCACAGCTGGCAAAAGGTTCTGTCCGTAGTTATGCTTATTACAGTCCAGAGCATGCATGCACACACACATCAACACACAGAGTGGGGCAAAAATCCCCAAACAACTGCTACAAAGCATGGCAAAAAACATCTGGAGCCTTGTTGAAATGTTCTTCCTCCTGCTTGCAGAATGCTATCTTCCCCCCAGCACACATCTGTCAAAGATGCACTAACTTTGACCAACTCTAAACCTCTTTGGCTGCCTTCAGAGGAGTGCAGAGGAGGGAGACTCCAGGAAAACGGAGTGCAAACAATACCTGCAAAAGTAGTATCACAATGACAACAATATAAGACTGGCATGTGGAGGGGAAACCCTTGAAGTGCTGCAAAGCATGGGTACTACTGAGTTTTTAAAAATCAGAGTGGGGTTTTGGGGGGGCCTCAGGAGTAGATCTAAGCGGCATTCTGTGCGTCCCCAGTGACCACATGACTGCCTGGTGTGGCAGTGCAGATGGGGCCGGGGAAGGGAGCAAGGCAGGCCGGCCAGGGGAGGGGGGACCCCGTCCTCTTCTTCCTCCTCTCTCCCTCTCTCTCTCTCCCCGGCTGGACTCACCTCGGTGCGCGCCTGGAGCCGCTTGTTCATCTCGTAGAGGCGGTACTCGGGCTGCACCATGTAGGGCGCGTGGCGGCGGTAGAAGGGTCCGAAGGGCGAGGAGTAGAAGGGGTCGTGGGGCGCGCTGGCCATGGTGCCACAGTCCGGGCGCCCAGCAGAGCAGCAGCACTGTACATGGGCGGGCGAGCCAGGAGCCGCGCCAGGCTGCGCGCAAGCAAACTCAGCCCAGCGAAGAAGCAGGCAAAGGCAGGCGGGCGAGAGAGGGAGGGAGGAAGCAAGCGAGGAGGAGGGAAAGAGGGGGCGGGTAGCAAGCAGGCAGGCAGGAGGCAGGCAAGCAGCAGCCTGGCTGGCTGGCTGGCTGGCTGGGAATCTCCGCCGGAGCCACTGGAGAGAGAGAGAGAGAGAGAGCAGCCTCCACGGCTCGCTTTTCAAAGACTCCCTCCCTACCCAGGCTCAGGGGCTTCCCTTACCTCTTTTTCCCCCTCCAGGAGAAAGCCCTCCCTTTTCCTCCCCTCTCTCCAAGTTTTCCTCTTTTTTTGGGAAGGAGTCCTGTTTCTCATCACTGGCATCTCTAGTCCTTCCAAGGTTTGGCTCAAAGGAACGGACCAAGGTTGCCAAAGGGTCTCTGGGTCAGTGGTTCTCAACCTTCCTAATACCCCTTAATACAGTTTATTTATTTCTTTATTTATTTGCTTTACTTCTATACCGCCTTTCTCAGCCGGAATGGCGACTCAAGGCGGTTTACATAGTAAAGGTTATCATAACAATATCAAAGAAGACAATTAAAAAGACATTATACAAGATATACAGATCAAAAACAATCATTATCATAAGCCTCTGCAAGCAAATCAGAATCAGAATCCGTAATCATAATCCTATACCAATTCCTATGTTCGGTTGTACCATCTTCATGAATTCATTGCACTATTTAGCCAAACGCTTGTTCGTAAAGCCAAGTCTTAACCTTCCTCCAGAATGCCAGCAGTGAAGGGGCCTGTCTGATGTCCACAGGTAGGGCATTCCACAGCCAAGGGGCCACCACCGAGAAGGCCCTGTCCCTCGTCCCTGCCAACCGCACCTGCGATGCAGGCGGGACCGAGAGCAGGGCCTCCCCAGACAATCTTAATGTCCTAGTCAGTTCATAGGTGGAGATGCGTTCGGAGAGGTAAGTAGGGCCAGAACCGTTTAGGGCTTTATAGGCTAAAGCCAGCACCTTGAATTGTGCCCGGTAGCAGATTGGCAGCCAGTGGAGCTGGTTCAACAGAGGAGTGGTATGCTCCCTGAGTGCCGCTCCTGTTAGCAACCTGGCTGCCGAACGTTGGACCATTTGAAGCTTCCGAGCAGTCTTCAAGGGCAACCCCACGTAGAGAGCGTTCTCATGTTCCTCATGTTGTGGTGACACCCAACCATAACATTATTTTTGTTGCTACTTCATAACTGTAATTTTGCTACTGTTATGAATCGTCATGTAAATATCTGATCTGGACCAAATTTGGCACAGATACCCAATATGCCCAAATTTGAATACTGGTGGGGTTGATTTTGTCATTTGGGAGTTGTAGTTGCTGGGATTTATAGTTCACCTACAATCAAACAGTATTCTGAACCACACCAATGATGGAACTGAACCAAACTTGGCACACAGGACTCCCATGACCCTTCTGTTTAAGGAGCTCCACTGGCTGCCGTTTATTTTCCGAGCCCAATTTAAGGTGCAGGTGCTTACCTACAAAGCCCTGAACGGTTTGGGACCTGCGTACCTGCATGACCGCATCTCCGTTTACGAACCCACGCACTCACTGCGTTCATCTGGAGAGGCCCTGCTCATGATCCCGCCTGCGTCGCAAGCGCGTTTGGTGGGGACATGAGACAGGGCCTTTTCTGTGGTGGCCCCCCGACTCTGGAACACCCTCCCCAAAGATCTTAGACAGGCCCCTACATTGGCAGTCTTTAGAAAGAACTTGAAGACCTGGCTGTTCCGATGTGCCTTCCCAGAATAGGAAATCTCCAATACCAAGTCCCAGAAGCACTTTATTAGAACTAAGATTGCCGCACACTGCACTTACCCTAAAACAGGGTATAGGGTTACAGCCTGTGCTGGATGGGGTCGCACTCCCCTTGAAGGCGCAGGTTCGCAGCTTGGGTGTGATCCTGGACTCATCGCTGAGCCTGGAGCCCCAGGTTTCGGTGGTGACCAGGGGAGCATTTGCACAGCTCAGGCTCGTGCGCCAGCTGCGCCCATACCTCGGGAAGTCTGACTTGGCCACGGTAGTCCACGCTCTGGTTACATCCCGTTTAGACTACTGCAACGCTCTCTACATGGGGTTGCCCTTGAAGATGGCCCGGAAGCTTCAATTGGTCCAACATGCGGCAGCCATGTTACTAACAGGAGCGGGACGCAGGGAGCATACAACGCCCTTGTTGTACCAGCTCCACTGGCTGCCGATTTGCTACCGGGCTCAATTCAAGGTGCTGGCGCTGGCCTATAAAGCCCTAAACGGTTCCGGCCCAAGATACCTATCTGACCGCATCTCGGCCTATGAGCCCACCAGGACTTTGAGATCGTCCGGGGAGGCCCTGCTCTCGATCCCGCCTGCCTTGCAGGCACGCCTGGCAGGGACGAGAGACAGGGCCTTCTCGGTGGTGGCTCCTCGGCTGTGGAACACCCTTCCCGTGGACATCAGACAGGCTCCTTCCCTGTTGATATTCCGCAGAAAATTAAAAACCTGGTTGTTCAAGAAGGCGTTTGAACAAGAAGTGCAATGATTGGTAATGACTATAGGAATGGAATAACGGAAAATGATATTGGATTGTGGTTTGGATGATGAGACGACTCTGAATGGTTTCATAGTAATGACAATGTTTTGTATAATGCTTTTTGTATAATGTTTTTTGCATAATGGTTCGAGAATTGTTTTAATACTGTGTTTTGTATTTTGTTCTTCCCATGTTGTACACCGCTGTGAGTCGCCCTTGGGCTGAGAACAGCAGTATAGAAGCAAAGGAAATAAATAAATAAATAAATAATAACAAACCTTTATTTGTACCCCGCTACCATCTCCCGCGTGGGGCCCCAGTGGCGCAGTGGGTTAAAGCACTGAGCTGCTGAGCTTGTTGACCAAAAGGTCGCAGGTTTGATTCCAGGGAGCGGCATGAGCTTCCGCTGTCAGCCCTAGCTTCTGCCAAACTAGCAGTTCGAAAACAAGCAAATGTGAGTAGATCAATAGGTACCGCTCCGGTGGGAAGGTGACAGCGCTCCATGCGTCATGCTGGCCACATGACCTTGGAGGTGTCTATGGACAACGCTGGCTCTTCGGCTTAGAAATGGAGATGAGCACCACACCCCAGAGTCAGACATGACTGGACTTAATGTCAGGGGACAACCTTTACCTTTACCTTTTACCATCTCCCGCAGGACTCGGTGCGGCTTACAAGAGGCCGAGCCCAAAATACATCAGAAACGAAAAACACAACAACAACAATACAATAAAACAATAAATAACTCAACACAAAGCAAAACAATAACAAAAATCACGACGCATTTAGAAACCTGTGGCAGGGCCGAATGTAATGATTAAATTTTTTAAAAATGCTGAGCATGTCCAGGTGAAATAGGATGGATATTTTGGGGATAAGAAGGTGTGCAGACCATTCTAACTCTCTCGTAAAGTGCATTTGGGACAGGTTGCTTAGAATTCCTTAATCTGGGAAGGCACACTGGAACATCCATGTTTTCAAGCTCCTTCTGAAGACTGCCAATGTTGGGGCATGCCTGATGTCCTTGGGGAGGGAGTTCCAGAGTCGTGGGGCCACCACCGAGAAGGCCCTGTCCGTTGTTCCCACCAATCGCGTTTGCGAGGCAGGTGGGATCGTGAGCAGGGCCTCTCCAGATGAATGAAGAGAACGTGTGGGTTTCTATACGGAAATGCAGTCACGCAGGTAGGTGGGTCCCAAACCGTTTAGGGCTTTGTAGGTAAGCACCTGCACCTTGAATTGAGCCCGGATAAAAATAGAAGGAGCGCAGGCCGCTAAATATCTTTTGACTAAACACGGGCAATAATAATAATAATAATAATAATAATAATAATAATAATAATAATAAATAAATGAAAAAACATGGCTGTGGCTCACAAATGGAACTCTGAAAAAGGAGATGGAGGGCCTGATTCTGGCAGCCCAAGAACAAGCCATTCGAACCAATGCCATCAAAGCCAGAATTGAAAAGTCGACAACAGATGCCAAATGTAGACTCTGTAAGGAAGCAGATGAAACAATAGATCACATCCTCAGCTTCAAGAAGATCGCGCAGACAGACTACAAGCAGAGGCATAACACCGTTGCTCAGAACCTGTGCCACAAATACTATCTACCTGCAATAAAGAACTGGTGGGAACACAAGCTGAAAAAAAAGTTACAGAAAATGAGGTGTTAACTACCACTTGATTATTTCCTGTCTGGAATTTCCCTGATTTCTGAATGTTGCTCTTTATTTACTGGCCTGATTTTAGAGTTTTTAAATACAGATTTTGTTCATTTTCATGGTTTCCTCCTTTCTGTTGAAATTGTCCACATGCTTGTGGATTGTGCAACATTCACACTTGCCTCAAGCAGAGAAGAGCTTTGTGTTTGTGGCACATCCTACAGCACATTTGGCTCCAATTTTTCAAGGAATATCTTGTTGAGTCTCCACCAATTCAACATAGTTTGTGGCAGCAACAAAAATGAAGTTTATGGAGTATAACAGTTACTTTCAAAGTAAGTACCACACAATTAAAAAGGAATAACACTTTTAAGTTCATATGTGTATGTTGTTGTTATTGTTCATTCGTTCAGTCGTCTCCGACTCTTCGTGACCTCATGGACCAGTCCACGCCAGAGCTCCCTGTCGGCCGTCACCACCCCCAGCTCCTTCAAGGTCAGTCCAGTCACTTCAAGGATGCCATCCATCCATCTTGCCCTTGGTCGGCCCCTCTTCCTTTTTCCTTCCACTTTCCCCAGCATAATTGTCTTCTCTAGGCTTTCCTGTCTCCTCATGATGTGGCCAAAGTACTTCAACTTTGTCTCTAGTATCCTTCCCTCCAGTGAGCAGTCGGGCTTTATTTCCTGGAGGATGGACTGGTTGGATCTTCTCGCAGTCCAAGGCACTCTCAGAACTTTCCTCCAACACCACAGCTCAAAAGCATCGATCTTCCTTCGCTCAGCCTTCCCTAAGGTCCAGCTCTCACATCCTTAGGTTACTACAGGGAATACCATGGCTTTGACTAGGCGGATCTTTGTTGCCAGTCTGATGTCTCTACTCTTTACTATTTTATCGAGACTGGACATTGCTCTCCTCCCAAGAAGTAAGCGTCTTCTGATTTCCTGGCCA